CAACTTTAATGAAGAATGGATTAATATTTTTTGTCAAGAACCTGATGAGTGTCTTCAAAATGAAATGGACATTAAAAAGGAACCTAGTGTGGAACTGGAAGATGAGCTTTTGCATGATAATCAGTGACATTGTATCATCCCTGACACATGCCTTATGCCAGTTGATCCTGAAACCACTGATCAATGTTTTGATGAAATCTTGAATCTTGCTCCAGCTGAGGGCAATAATCCTCTTAAATTGTGATCTGATGAGGACCATGACGCTAAATGCTTTCCAAAATTATTCCCATTGGCAATACTTTTCGTACTTCAAGACCATTGTTCCAATATTTTGTAAATAGAATCATGAATGTGGATCGCAGATTCGCTCACAATTGTGAATATATATTTTTGGCTCTTTCTTTGATTGAAGTTGATCAGGTGGTTTCTAAAGTGTAATTTGCTGCCAGAAAAGGACACTCGGGCTCTAAACCTCATAGTGGTAAAAATGTGAAAGACTCTCTTAAAGAGATGTTAAATTATGATGATGGGTATCACTTTCTGCACCCAATTAGAGGCACACCAGCTTATTGGCAGAGTGCTCAAAAAGACTTGCTGGCTTGTTTACGTCAACTTAGATTACCCACATGTTTCTGCTCTTTTAAAAAATAGAGCGGAGACAACAGACGGCTGACAGCTTGACTTGGAAGGAGAAATGTGACCTTTTAAGGTGTAATTCTGTAGTGGCTGCACAAATGTTTGATCACCATTGGCATGATTTTTTTGAATGATGTAATCTTGTCCAAGGCTGAGCCAATTGGTAAAAGTGTTGATTACTTTTACCAGGATGAGTTTCAACAAAGGGGGGTCCTCTCATGTGCACTGTTTGTTTTGGGTAGAGGGCAAAGATCGGGGTTGACACAGATTAAGAGTTGGCTACTTTTGTTGACAAATATGTGACATGCAAATTACCAACAGATGATGACGAGCTGTTAGAATTGGTTACATCTGTGCAGACACATTCTAAGAGGCATTCCAAAACATGCAAAAAGGGCAATACTGTTTGTAAAAAACAACAGGAGGATCATTCCGAATAAGACCAGACTCAAATCATTCCAGATCTGGCAATACCTACAGAGGATGTTTGTCATTTGGAAAAGACAATCTGCAGCAAAGTGAAGGTCTTG